TTGCTTATTAATCATAGGCCTAATATCAAAGTTTAAGAAAGTATGTAAATGTGGAGATTGAAATAAAATTGTATTATGTTAACTATTGCTTGGGGTAAAAAAAATAAAACTTTATTGGACAATTAAAATATTTTTTTAAAGATTTTATTTATTTATTTTTAGAGAGGGAAGGGAAAGAGAAAGAGAGAGAGAGAGAGAAACATCAATGTGTGGTTGCTGGGGGCCGTGGCCTGCCCTGACTGGGAATCGAACCTGCGATGTTTTGGTTCACAGCCCGTGCTCAATCCACTGGGCTACGCCAGCCAGGGCTCCAATTAAATATTTTTATGCAAAATATTCTGTTATACTTAGGTTTGCCTGTGATTTATCAATAACTCACATGCTGTAAAAGAGTTTAGACAAAATGTTCCCTGTATATGTAGCAAAGACTGTATATATCTTCTAGTTGTTATTGTCAACATGTGTAAATGTTGATTTGTACCCACCGTGCTGATTCATGGTTCACCAGGAACCACGCGGTCAACACTGCCCCATCAGAGCTTAAACACACTGCTTTGCCAGCACCTGCCGAGGCTTGATCTGCTTCGAACTTATACATCCAATTTCCTGCTTTATACCTACTGTTGTACATCACCCATATTCAAAACTGAATTTGTAGTCATGCCCCAGGCTCATTTTTCCTCCTTAGATCTCAACTTTAGTGACCTGTACTAGCCTTCATTCCCTTATTTCTCCCAAACCCTCTTTTAATAAGATTCACAGAGAATAGATGGAAAGAACCAAGGGGAGATAAAATATCTGCTCTGTTAATAGTGGCACAGTAACTCCTAAATTACAAGTCTTCCTAGTATGAAGAAGGATGTTTAGGACTAAGACCCAAAATATACCATTGTACTCCTTTCCCAGCTGAAACTTACTACCTGCAGACAGGAAGGCCGAAGCACTCCAGGCCTGAACAAAGGCAATGCCAAATGATGAATTAAAAATTGTGCTACATACATGCAGTGTGACCTTCAAACTCACCCTTGACTGTCAGGCTCTGGCCCATCTCACCAATCAGATGTCATTCCTCTCCACCTAAGCTCAGGACACTATGTTTGTGGGAGAGAGAATCTACAATGTACAATCAGCTTCTCACTTCTTACCGGGCAGCAAACATCCTCTGAGGTGCCCTGGGGACTAGGGATAAGGTTTCCTGCCTTAACACTCTCTACCATGTCCCTAGGTATCCAAGCTCAGTACCTGGCCATAAATCTAAACCACATTATTTTTCTTACTTCCTTATCATCCCTTCTGTTCCATCCATCACCAGATCCTGAAGTTTTATCTCCTAGATCTTTCTGCCTACATCTTTTTCTCTCCATCCATCCTCCCTTGATGTTAGATCCAGTTATCATCCTTTGCCAACACACAGGAATGATCTCCTAATTCTTTCTGATTTAAGTCTTGTTCCATTCCTAATCTAATCTCTGCATTGCAGCCAGAGTAATTCTGAAGCTCAATTCTGATCATGTTACCCTCTGACAGCTTCCCATTAACTACAAGGACAAAGGACGAGCTCTTCAGAATGATTTACAAAACCCTTCATGAACTACTAACTTTCCAAACTCATTTGCCCCATTCCCCACCCCATCCTCATCCCAGTGATATGAAAATGCCTGTCGTTTCTGACAGTCTGTGCAGCTGCAAACCTTCATCCCTTTTTTCATGTAATTCCTCCTGTCTGAAATGCTCTTGACTCCTGTCTCATTTACTTACCTCTGATTCAACTCTGAAGATTCTGTTGAAACCATTGCTCCTTCAGGAAGCTTTCCATCCTCCATACTTGTCTGCTCCCTCAGTCTGGGGAAATTACTCCTCTTCTGTACTCACTCCGTGAATAGCTACATCATTGAATTGAATACCCTATCTTGACTTTTTTCCTATGTCTGTCTTCCTATTGTTTAGAGGCCATATCCCCAGTAACTAGAGGTTACCAACACTCAAGATAAGTCTGTGGGCTTCAACTAAACACTTTTTTTTCCCAAATCACTTATTTATTCCTTAATTTATCCATTAATTCAATAATAACTTATTGATGAATTTTATGAGTTTCACCCCACGTGTGCACTTTTGCCTGGCTGAGTAATATCCTAATTTCCCAGAAGTGTTTGGCCTGTGTGGGAACCAATCATTTTCCTGCTTCACTACACATTCCACGGTATGTGAGGAACATTTGTTAGGCATTTTTAAACTGTGATTTGCAAATTACCCATTTGAATCATTTTTCTAAATGCTCGTTCTGGTGACACTCCTGACTGATCACACTGCATCTTTTTGATGGGGATAGGCTGACATAAATGATGCCGTCTGAAAGCCTAATACTCTGGAACTGTGAGGCTATCACTCCTCTTTGCTGCTTCCATCTGCAGAAAATGCAAATCTCAGTGGCAGCCATCAGAATTAAATACACTTGGATAAACAATAATACAAAATAGTGTCCGATTATTATTTCACAGCAGGTCTTTGAAGTCACTCAGGTTCAGCTGGATGCTTCTTGTTTCAGAAGTCAGCTGCTCAAGGACTTCAGCTGCTAATGGGCACTGATCTTCTTTTTGTTTTCTTTTGTTTTTGTTTTGTTATTTTCATTCCAATCCATAAGGGTCGAGTTTAAAGAGCTTTGATATAAACCCTACATTCTCCAAAAAAAGTCTCAAAAAACAATGGGGAATCTTAGAGGCTGGAAGGTAGCCATCTATTCCAGGGGCAGTGGGCTTAGGAACCTGAGAATAATGAACAATAGGTTCTCTCAGTGTGTCTGGCAACAAAGATAGTGAGTGGCCAAAGAGTACAGGCAGGAGGGAGTCAGGAGGAATGGGTCCATGAAAAGGCCAGAAGAAAAGGCCTCTGTAATTCTCCTTCCACCATGGGCCCATTTCTCCAGGAAAGAGGGAGGTTTGTAAAAGTAAGAGTAAGACCTCATAAAGAGAATTGTAAAATAATAATAATAATAATAATAATAATAATAATAATAATGGCAATCTAATTGGTTAATATTACACCTAATAACCAAATTAACAAATATACCCTAAAATCTTTTGGAAATATATTAAGCATACACACACTCTCACACCTCTATCAGGAACCAAAATATTTAACAACCAACTCAAAATGTACCAGGCAACCAGAACAGATGCCCACCACAAACACCAGGAAGGCCGTCCTGGAGCACAAAGTTAAATGCATGTACATACAGTTGAATACACATACAACGGCACACACACCAGACATGCTTCCCTCCCTTGTGAAGTTCCATACTGAATTCTACTTTGGTTTCTCTTTTAAGCAACAAGAATGACTAGTGATAAAAATGCTGAAGAGAAATCTGAAGTCATTCTTGTGTATATTGTTTTTTTTTCTGCCTGAAGCTTAAAAAATGACATAAGATTTTCTTTCTCCATTTTCAGCCTTATAGTTGTCCTTCTCTCTCTTCCCTAAAGACCAGGAATTCCCCAACTCCCACGCCCTTCAATCCAGAGCTCCCTTCTGAAAATAGACACTAACGGAGAACCTATGCCAATCCTCGGCCACCTGCCTCGCTGGAATCCCTGAGTGTGGCCTTTCTTCCCATCCTTCTCACGGATCTCTCCAAGCATCCCACACCCTCCAGCAAGTTCATACTTCATTCTTCTGCCTTTTCTTCCAGACCTCGTTTCAAATCCAATCCTCTACTCAAACTTTTCACACATTATCATTATTATTTTGCCATTCTGTCCTTTAAAAATTCTTTGGCAAATAGTAACTTCAGGGTGTTCTGAGGCTCATGTCATGGAGCCAAAGCTCTCACCCCATTTTTCAATGGGAACATTTATTAAATACCTCATGCCAGTCATTCTCCTGGGTAATTTACTTATGCATCTCATTCAACCATTACAATGCAGTAGAAACATCATTCCCACTTTGTCGGAACCTGGGAGTCAGAGGGGCTGAGGAATTTGTCACTGATCACACAGCTAGTAAGGGGTGAAATCAGGGCTGGAACTCCGGAGACTGTTTGACTACGATCTTGTGTTCTTTCATACCCAATGTGGCTGCTGTAAAGTAAATGACAAAAATAATAATAATAATAACTAGCCAAAGTTACAGAGTCTCACCTCAATTTAACTAACATTGTTTTAAACTCACTCAAGTGTTTACAAATAGAAGAAGGCTGAGTCACCACTCTACATCTTAACATTGCTTATAAATTTTAAGCCAACTTAGCCTTAAGGAACTCTAAACTTTAGGAAAATGTTAACCAAAATAACTTTTGTCTATTACTACTGAGGGGAAATAAAGTTTTAAGTTACAGATTCCCAGTGTATATTGCCATTTATTTGAATTAATGTTCCACTGTGTATTCAGGAAGTATAAAATGATCAGGGATGATCGGTCCGGAGTTAAATGACAAAAGCAACAAACCCAAAGCACTATGTTAATGGTTGGGAGGATTGCGTTTTTGTCTTTAGATTTGGAGAGAAGAACCAAGTATTTACAGGTAGACATGGCCCCCAAGTAAAGAAGAGAGCTTGTTCCTTGTGTTTGTTTTTGTTTTTGTTTTTTTGAAGAAAGAATTCCTGTAATGAATTATAGTTTATATTTTTAAAGCAGGTGGGGTAATTTTTATTATTGTTTCAAATATGCTCCTAAGATTGATTATTTTTTATCAAACATTCTCTATTGTATCAGCAAATGGTCAAATAACACATTTGCTCCATCAGAAAAGAGAAGAGGTATTTGGGCTGCTTGTTTCTGCTCAGGGTTGAGATGTTTGTGTGTCTGTGTCTGCACGTGTGTGCTGGGGGGCAGGGGGCATATGCTGGGGGGCAGGGGGCACATGCTGAGATCAACTGCACTCAGGCAGGGCTGGCTCCTCCTGGCCTCGCTGGCCTGGGGAGGCACAGACAGTGACTTACCCACTTTCTAGCAGTGCACTGATTAACTGTGAACCTCATATAAGACTCTATTGTTTTCAACCTCAGAAATATTTACCAAAAAATCAGAGACCATGACCTGCTGGACAAGAGGAAAACTGTCACGGCACTGAAAGCAGGCGAGGACCGTGCCATTCTCCTGGGACTGACCATGATGGTGTGCTCCATCATGATGTACTTTCTGCTGGGCATCACCCTCCTGCGTTCATACATGCAGAGGTAACACCACCAGGGGGCTGGGCCAGTGTCCTCTGTCTCTGCCTTCTCCCTTCTCCCGTTCTTTCCGAAGAAGAGCTTGGAGCAATGCCTGGCACATAATATTTTTCAATTATGTTGTCTAGTAATAATGCTAAAATATCTGTATTTATACACTGCCTACTATGTGCCAGGAACTTTTCATACATCACTTGCTTAATTTTCATTACTATTCTATGAGGTAAATATTAATATACTCATTATTAAAATGGCAAAACTGAGGCTAAAGATAGAAATAATTTGCCCAGTGTCACACAACTCTAGCATATGGCAGAGCCAAGATTCAAACCCACTTCACACTAATTCTAGGGACCCTGCTCCTGTCTCTTTACACTTCTGTTCATTCTCCACCCTCATTCCTTTTCTACCCTTTACTCCTCCAGCACCCCACACACACATCAGTGGTTCTCAACTGCACATCTAAAATTCCTGAGAAACTTCTAAAAATACTTGTGCTCAGTCCCCCCACCATCATCCCAGAGGTCAGATTTAATTGCTCTGGAGTGGGAACCAGTCACCAGTAGCTCTTAAATTTCCCCAGGTGATTCTAATGTGCTGTGAAAGCTGAGACACACTGCTGTGCGCCAACTTGAAAAAAAGTACAGATTTTGAACCCTTTTCATTTTGCTATTTGCCCATGGTTTACTGAATAGATAGAAAGGCAATTAAATCATTGATATTTCACATGTATTTCCCCCTGAGTAGGCCACAGCATCTCTAGCTAACACTGCCTGTAAATTGGACACTGTGAGCACAGGAGAGCCCAGCATTACTCTAACAAACAGGGAAAGTCTCACACTGGTTCAGCTTAAAGAGATGAGAGCCTTTCAAATGAAAAACTGAGGTTTTGATCCAAAAAAGAATCAAACCACTTTGTGGCATTTAATTCTCCACTTAAATTAATACTTTCACTTTAGAAGCAAACTGTAGCTGAAATACAGTAATTTGCTAAAATTAAGGCATCATCTCTCTCATTTGTGACTGCTCTGCTCTGTTTCCTGGAAGCCTTCAACTGTCTCCTTCTCAGTGAAAGTGCTGATGACTCAGGCCCCGAGTGTTCACTGACTCCAAACCACTTTCAGTCCCTCACATCTGCTTACAGCCATCTAAGACTTGTTCCTCTATGGATAAGCAAACTCTGATCACCCACATCCTAGGAAAATTCACTTTGCTACACCAGAGAGGGTCAAGGCTACTACAGTACCTCTGGTATACAAGAAAAGGGGGTCCCTCCTGACTGGCGTGGCTCAGTGGATTGAGCGCCGTCCTGCGAACCAAAGGGTCGCCAGTTCAATTCCTAGTCAGGGCACATGCCTGGGTTACAGCCCAGGTCCCCACTAGCAGGGCATGTGAGAGGCAACAACACATTAATGTTTCTCTCCCTCCCTTGCTCCCTCCCTTCCCCTCTGTTTAAAATAAATAAATAAAAATCTTTAAAAGAAAGAAAGAAAAGGGGGGCCCTGCCAATACATGTCCAGCAAAACAAAAAGGTATTATTCTGTAAAGAAAACATGTAGTCTTTTGTTCACTACAGAAATCAGCTTACACCCAGAAGCAAAATATCGACTGCTGGTGTGTTACTTCCAAACCACAAATATTACTCTTGGTCATAAAATTATAAATATTTTAGAGTAAAAAGAGAGTCAATAAGCAGCTAGAAGGTTTTTTTTCTTTAATCTTTCCAACTGAAAGGTCCCAGGGCATGAACATGAAGCCAGTAGTCAGCACAGACAGTCCCCTTTTCCACTGTGCTCTTGGAAGGCACAGAGGAGGCGCCACAACACAGAACCAGCCTGGGCCCTGGAGAAAGAAATCCAGGCTTAGATGGAATCACACTTCCATCACTTACTAGCTCTGTGTCCTTGCATGCTACTTGATTTCTCTGGCCTTCAGTTCACTCACCCGTAAAGGGAACTAATACCCAACATACAGACAAGAGAGGATAATGTATATAAAACACCAATTGAGGTGGAAAGAAGGGGATGCACAAGTGATATCTCATGGTATAATCAAAATGTGCAGCTATCTTTTCTCCCTTATTAGAAAGGCCTTGAAGAAATACACCCCCGTCCTTCATCTGTCGAGTTGGACTTCAAGGCCCTCCACCCCTTTGGCATCTCTCCTCCTCTTCTCCCTTATACCTTCTCTGCCTATAGACCAGGCAGACATTGCAGAGGTGAGGGCTGGGCCATGGCAGGAAGCTGCTTACAAGGCAGAAATACAGAGTGAGTGCAGGTTGTGATATAACAAGGTGCTTTATGCTTATCGGTGAATTCGAGATAGGAAAAAATAACTTAAATCAAACATTGGCCAATATTATACTATGACCAATGGTAGTCATTGAAAGAGTTCTCAGGTGCCAGGCAAATTTTGTCTATGTTTATATTACTGTTTGCCTATGGCTACTCGATTCAAAGGAATAAACTTTAACAAAGAGGTTTTATCATAGATTTGGAAAACATTTTTCAGGCTAAGGACAAATGACCCCCTCTATTTATGCTTTCCTTGCCGTTAGCTCTTTGAACCTGTGTTTTACCCTTCCCATCTCTCTGCAGCGTGTGGACCGAAGAGTCTCAATGCACCTTGTTGAACGCATCCATTACAGAAACGTTTAACTGCTCCTTCAGCTGTGGCCCAGACTGCTGGAAACTCTCTCAGTACCCTTGCCTCCAGGTGTATGTTAACCTGACTTCTTCAGGTGAAAAGCTTCTTCTGTACCACACTGAAGAGACGATAAAAATCAATCAGAAGGTAGGTCACCCCTGCAAATCTCCCACACTCGGCTCATCTCTCTCTGAAGTTCCCCTGTGCCAGCGTTTCAAAGGAAAATGCCACCAGGAAGCAGGCCCTGCCTCATCTATAAACAGAACTCACTATTTAACTCTGGCCTGGGAAACATTTATTTTCTGTGCACGTTGTGGACAAATCACTCCCCCATTCTATGGCAATGCGGATTTACCCTTTACTTCAGTTTAGAAGAATAAACATCATATCCTTATTTATACACAAGTGGATTGAGTCTTTCAAAGCAAATGTACAGCTTAGTCAGAGTTGTACAAGCTAAAATCCCAGCTATTTGTCATATATCTGGGATCCTTGGGGTAAAGCTGTATTTGCTTTTCCACAGTCATTGTCACTTAGTTCTATGAACTTGGGGATGTAACTTAACTTCTCTGAGCCTCAGCTTCCTTTTCTCTAAAAAGGTAAAAAACAATGGCCATCTTTCAGGCCCACTGTGAGAACTGGAGCAGAGAATGTCAGGTGCTGAGCAGAGCGCAGTACCTGGCACAGGGGAGACTGTCAATCTGAAGTTACAGTGTGTATGCCCGTGTCTTTCCCCATGTGTATTATGTCCACATAATGCATATGGAGGCTGAATTTTCCAGCACTGATGGACATATTACACATATGGACATAATACTTATAGAAGCTGAATTTCCCAACACTGATATATTCAAGTTCACATGGTAGGTGGTCAAGGTGCATGTAAAATTTGCAGTTATAAGGATTGTGATAACCAGTCAAGTGTCAGCAGAACCAGCCTGCTATTATCAGTTTTAAGTTGAATATACTGAGTTTTGTATTTATGGTAGCAATTCAGATGACCAGAGTACTCATATGCCAAAGCAACCCAGTGCCACTCCAATAGGATAAGTAGCCCTCATTACCCAGGTACAGGCTTCATGAACTTCAGCTTTCCTTGTAAAAACTTGTCATGACAAATACCAGCATTTAAGTGACATAGGTTGTATGTATTGAAAAAACGCAGTAGCTTTGGAGTGTGATTCTAGAACATAGGCTTTATTTTGTGATATATTGACACAAAGTAAAGAAATCCATCTTTCGTTTTCATTGCAATAACTTACAAGAATTCTTGCAACTGTCCCTGAGGACTCAACATAATAAATATTTCAAAGAATGGCTTTTGAAAATTCTGCCCTGACTTCCTTTGTTTATGATGGCCACAAACAATGCCAGTCCTCACCCTTTTCTACAAATCTATAAAGCTCAGCTCTCCCACAAAGTGTGTGTCTTCCAAGATCTTCCCTCAGGTCAGACTTTTAAATCAAAGCTGACCTGTAGCAACAAATGCTTATAAAACTCTCCAAATTTCATGGTATTGGAAATTGGCCAAAGTCGAATAAGCATCAAAAAGTGGGACACATTTCCACTTCTTCATTTTGATATTTTATCAATACAGCCCTGTAAATGCATTAACAGGGCTATAAACAGGAATTGGACCTACCATAGAAAGTCTCAGTTAAAAATTTAGGACCAGTATCTTGTCTGCTGTCAACATGGTAGGTCAGTTTTTGGTCATAATGGGGCAAATGCCATTACCTTGTTTTTAACTGTGACTTATAACACACATACAGAAACATGCAAGGAATGAAAGAATACAGCTCAAGCATTAATTACAGAGTTTCCTACATGTAACTACCATGAGGTTAAAGAAATAAAACATTTCCTGCACCACAAAAACATCCTTCATGCCTCCTCCCAATAACTATGGGCTCTGCACTCTGACAAATGTAACAACTCTCCTGACATGGCAGTTATTTTCTTATTTTTCTTTATAGTTTTTTTTTAAAGATTTATTTATTTATTTTTAGAGAGGGAAGGGAGGGAGAGAGAGAGAGAGAGAGAGAAACATCTATGTGTGGTTGCTGGGGGTTATGGCCTGCAACCCAGGCATGTACCCTGGCTGGGAATCAAACCTGGGACACTTTGGTTCCCAGCCTGCGCTCAACCCACTGAGCTACGCCAGCCAGGGCTATTTCTTTATAGTTTTATTACCTAGGCATATATCCCCAAACACTGTATTTTAGTTTTGCCTGGTTTTTAAACATTATATAAATGGAATCATACAGAATATTTCCCTTTGTGTCTGGCTTCCTTCACACAACACTGTATTTGGTAGAGTCATTCCATTTGGTGATGCATCATTCATTTTTATTAATGTATTATTTCCTGTGATATGAACATGCCAATTTATTTACTCATTCTACTTTTGGTGGACATTTTGAGTCACAGTGTGGCACCATTACAAATAATTCTGCCATGAATAGTCTCATATACATCTTTTGGTGCACAAGCACACACATGTCTGTCGGTTATAAATCTGGGAATGGAATATCTAGCTCACAGAGTATACTTAGTTTAGGAGATAATGACAAATGGTTTTCCAACATGCTTTCACCAATATACACTCTCACCAACCCTGTACGTATGAGAGTTTTTATTGCTACAAATCCTCACCAATACTTGGTATCATCTATAATTTTAATTTTAGCTGATATGGTAATATTTCCTTTGGTTCTCATGACTACTATTGCCAAATGCCGTTCCTTTACTATTAGCCATTTGGATATTGTGTTTTATACAATGTCTGTTCAAGCCCCTTGTCCATTTTTCTATTGGATTGTTTCTTCTGCATATTCATTCTAGGGATTCTTTAAATCTAGATATGAACCTCCATTGGTTATATGTCTTAAAAACATCTTCTCCCATTATGTGGCCTTCTCACTCTCTTAATGATGTCTTTATATGAAAGAACTTTATAATTTCAATACAGCCAAATGTTAACTTTTTGGTGGGGGTTTTTTGGGGGGGGAGGGTTCTGTTCAGTCTTTATATACCCTGAGGTCATCATTTTCCTAAATTATTTTCCAGAAGCAAATGGTTTCTCTTTTGACATCTAGAGTATGATCAACCTGGAATTGACATTTATGTAGGGGTCAAGTTTCTGGGTATCTTTTTTTTTTTTCATATGAACATCCACTTGCCCAAGTTCATTTATGAAAAAAACACCCTTTTCTTACCTGATTATCTTTGTAATCCTATTTCCCCTTCTATTTTTGTGGCAGTTATCTGTTCTGTTGCTATTATTGTAGTGTTTAGCCTAGAGATTATAACTTGAAATCTTGACTAATCAAGAACAATAAAATATTTTATCTCCATGTATCATCTTCCCAACTTATATATTATTGCTTTTCTATATATACCATAAGCTCATGTAGACATTATTATTGGTTTTGTGTATAGTAGGTATTAATTTATATGTGTTCCCATGATTTTCCATTTTCATTATTCTTCATTCCTTCCTTAGTCTCTGGTCTTCAGTCTGAATTCATGTTTCCACTGCTAGAAGAACACTCTGTAATTAGCATTAAGTAATATCTGTTCTAAAGAATTATCTCAGTTTTCATTTGTCTGAAAATTTTTTTCATTCCCACTCTTGAAGAATACATTCACTGAGCATAAAACTCTTAAGTTGGTTGTTATTTATTTCTGTACATTGAAAACATCCCATTGTCTCCTGATGAGCATTGTTACCATTTAGAGATCAGCTTTAAGCTAGTTGCTGCTTCCTTGAAAGTAATCTTGGTCTATTTTAAAGATTATTTTCTTTGGTTTCCTACAGTTTTACCATTATGTACCAAAGTGCACATTTATTTTTATTTACCCTGCTTAGTGTTCCCAGGGCCTGTTCCCTGATGTTCTCTGTCAAGTTTAGATAGTTCTCAGTCATGATCACATCAAATACTGTCTGCTCTCATTCTCTCCCATTTCTGGCTTCCTTGGACTCCAAATTGGCCACATGTTAGGTTTTTTCATTGTATTCCCTGTGTGTCATATTCTTCTTTTTATGTTTTCCATTTTTTTGTATTTTTGTACTTCATTCTGGATATTGACCTATCCTCAAATTTGAAATTCTTTCCTCAGCTCTGTTAAGTCTACTGTTAAACCCATCCTTTGAGTTCTTAATTTCTCTCACTGTAATATTCATTTCTAAAAATCCATTTGGGTTTTATTTTGTAAGTTTTAGTTTTCTACAATATTCTAATTCTTGTCTTTTAAATCCTTCAACACAAAAAATAAAATTGTAGAGATTTCCAGCCAAGATGGAGGCATAGGTAGACACACTGTGCCTCCTCACACAACTAAAAGGACAACAATTTAAAAACAAAAACAACCAGAACTGACAGAAAATCAAACTGTATGGAAGTTCAACAACCAAGGAGTTAAAGAAGACGCATTCATCCAACCAGTAGGAGGGGCGGAGTCAGGCAGCCAGGGAGGAAATAACTCACAGAAAGGCAGTGGCTGGCAGATCAGGTGGTCCCACATTTGCATGCAGACAAACCAGGTGAAACAAAGAAGGAGCAGGATGGGCCACACAACCCAGGGTCCCAGTGCAGGGATATAAAGCCTCAAACCACTGATTGAAAACACCTGTGGATACACCCACAGGGTCCTAGAATGTACACAAACCCACCCACATGGGAATCAGCACCAGAAGGGCCCAATTAGCTTGGGGGAAGTGAAGGAAGTGACTGAAATCCGGCAGAGAGCAGAGCAAGCGGCACTGTTCCCTCTCGGACCCCTCCCCCACATAGTGTCACAACCCAGCAATGTGGGTTGCCCCACCCTAGTGAACACCTAAGGCTCTGCCCCTCACTACATAACAGGACGTCAAGACAAAAAAAAAAAATGGCCCTAACAAAAGAACAGATCAAAGCTCCAGAAAAAATACAACTAAGCAATGAAGAGATAGCCAACCTATCAGAGGCACAGTTCAAAACACTGGTAATCAGGATGCTCACAGAATTGGTTGAATTTGGTCACAAATTAGATGAAAAAATGAAGGCTACACTAAATGAAATAAAGGAAAATGTACAGGGAACCAATAGTGATGGGAAGGAAACCAGTTATCAAATCAACAGTGTGGACCAGAAGGAAGAAAGAAA